GCTGAGTGGCAGATATGAGGAGATTCCAAATCCAAGTTTTTTGATGATCCCATTCCTATGGAATGACCCCGTACTTTTTCATAAATGGCAAATTTTGAACATATTCTATCTGAAGAAGGCATCCTTGCTTTGGGTAGTAATTTGGCTAAAGTTCATGCCTTTGCAATAAATAAAGTCTTGCAAAATTCTTGTTTTCCTTCAGAGGCCATGCCATTGTGATGGATACAACATTAATTTATTTGTCATGAATATAAATGGCCTGGCAAGATATACACTTTTAAGTGGCTTGTGATGGATTATCCACAGTGAAAATGGCCAAACCCTGGGATAAAGCCCAATCAAGCTAATTTTCAAGTGAATTTTCAAAAGATCAAGTTCACCCTATAGCCTCCACTTGTAGCTTAAAATGTCAGAAGAAATCTGAAGAACCAGTCCACAAAAAATGGAGCCCAATGGATCAGTATTACAGCCTGGAGAAATAATTTTCATATTTTGTAAAAAGGACCCCAGACACCCTGTGACAGCTATGGAATGATGGTATGGTATGGTATGGAATGGTATGGAATGGTATGGAATGGTATGGTATGGTATGGTATGGTATGGTATGAGGTGGAATGGTATGGTATGAGGTGGAATGGTATGTGGCATCCATACCATGGTATGATGGAATTGGTATGAGGGTCATACCACTCTGGAATGGGGTACCACTAAGGTTCCCTAATTCAAAGAATTGGATAACCTCATAGGTACCCAAAAATGGGTGACTGAAGTGCCATCTGGCTCATCTCGAATCCGCGCTTATCCTTCTTCAGCTACTAATGCACCAAAACCTTGCACTATATCAGTACTTTTCTGGCCTAATGTTGTATGTTCAATCTACTCTTTCAAATTTCTTGTGCTGCACATAACTTATCTTTAATTCTAGACCTCGGGGATGTATGAGCCTTTCGACATGCCGACCTATGACTTCAAAGTTACGGGTGGCCAATTTATGGAAACACTTCAAACCCTTAAGTGTCATCACCTCTTCTTCAATGTCGTTCTTCCTGGAAAGGTTGACGAGCCTCTGGACGGTCTGCTCACCTCTCAAATTCTTGCCCACTTCACTTCCCACAACCTTGTTCTCCCCTCTGATCCTAATCCAGGATCCGGTGATATTCATTTCCACCAGCGGCCCTGGGTTTTAATGCAGCCAAAATTGAAAAAGGCGACTTTGGTTTGGAGTATTGAGCCACATCCTAATATGAACGCCAATACCTTTAACCATACCAACCTCGTAAGGATAACGTCAAAATTCAAAAACCCGGAACGTGGAAGCAAGACAATGATGGTTATTCTTGGCGCTTTCTCTTATGAACTTTCTTTTCAAGGCTTGCTCACCAGTTCTCTTCAGCTCCACGGTACGGTCATGTATCAGGTATCCTACAGCCATCATGGATTGGAGAAGGCAGCTCTGCGAGCACTCTTGATCAACACCATCCATGCTTTGCCCAGCAAATTACGGAAGGATTACCTCATTCAGGACGGCCTCGACACCCACCTGTGTGCCTTACAAATTTATGCCCTGGGGCTGAGGCCATTGACACGCCCACAAATGAGGTATGCAACGTCTACCTTCATAGATGACTATATTTGATGGTTGGGTTTCCAGGTCACCTTTCCATCACAACGACCTGCTTCTGAGTCTGTTCAACTTCCTGAAGTTATTGTAATATCCGTCAGTTGAACTTGCTTCTCTAGCCAATTATTCAACTCACTTTCCATTAGGATGATGAAGCCCCCCCTCGAAACTCTCTTATTCGCCCACGTTCCATCTCAATTTTTGATGTAGGTGATATGTTATTCTCATCGTTGCAGTCACTGACTGACATTTGATTCAGGATACCCATTCTCCTCCACGTTCGAGAACTCGCATCAATCCACCAGCTAGAATGCCTGTTTTACGGTCTCTTGGGCAACCATCCAGAATACCAGGTCCATCACGATCTCATATGCGACCATCCACAGTTACATGGGTTGATGTTGTTTCATCTGACGATGACTTTCCAACTGCTATTCTACCTCAGAATGAAAGTAGATCATCCGCCAATGCGCCAAGGCTTGCATTCCCTTCTGAAGTTGAAAAATGGCAGGCCGAGGTCATGAAGCTTGTTGAGGCCCCACAGAATGAGCGTCAACAAGTTCAAATTCATGGTCGAACGATCCACTCAATGTCAGTTGCCCTGATCGACCTCCTCATTCACATTCAGCGATCTTCAAGCGACACCATTACCTCTACATTCTCAGCAGGTCCCGATATCTTCACCTGTAATGCTGAGGCCCCCCTTGTCGCGTTTCTTGCTAGATCTGCATTCCGGGTGTACAAAGTGTACGTTCTTCTCTCTTTATATGAGGTATCATCATGACATGTCCTTTCAGAGGCGTGACAATGGTTCGCCGTAGTGGCATGCCTGTTGCTGTGGCCCTTGG